ACAGCAGATGAACTCCAGGAGTCGTACACGCAGTCGCTCGAGTTCGCGAAGTAGTAGACTCTTGTCACGTGCTAGCAGCAAGCGCCGATAGTCCCGAAGTAACCAGCCTGGAGTGTGCTGGTATCATCGACGTTACGGAGCAAAAACCCAAAAGTGCACTCGCCCGTGCACCTTCGATGTTCAACAATCGGGAAACTAGCAGGCCAGCACGTACTGGCGACTAACGTCGCTGGCGAACCACTTTCATCTCGCCTCTTCTATGTTATCGACCGTAACACGGGGATACACTTCCTAATAGATACCGGAGCGGAGGTCAGTGTAATCCCACCCACAGTAGAGGAGCGCAGGCGGTTTAATATTTTTGATCTCTCGCTGCATTCTAATACCTTTGGACGACAGTTTGGATTGCTTTCCATGAACACTTGTATTTTCGACTTTGGACAACATGACATCAGATACTGACGTAGTGGGAGCAGATTATTCACTGTTGACATCTTCATATGTAATACATAAATCTTTAGCAGTTTGAAAGGTACAAGAAGGAGTCTGAATTAACTCTTTCTCTAACTTAGGAATATTGATTCCAGCAATTTCAAGTCAATAAAAGACGATGAATGAAGATGAAAATTATCAACGAAAAAGGCTGTCAGGATATACGATTATGTCACTCACGGAAAATTCAAATAAGTTCACTTTATATTACAGCTTGCGTTCAAGATGTTGTCTAAAAGGATGGAAAAAGCTTCTCAGTAAATAAAACGGCACAGAGAGCAGGGGCAAATATATATTTCTATATATATATATGTATATATATATATATATATATATATATATATATATATGTGGTGATTGACATTTTCTACCTCTGTATTGTTTAAATACTTACTGTTGTTTGTTAATATGTTTCTTATATGAATTGATATATTTTTTCGCCAAATACAAATTTCTAAATTCATCCCTCTCTGTGTTTCTGGTTCAATTCCTGTAATTCGGTCATTGCGAAATACAAATTTTATTATTATAAGTAATCACAACAGTATATATATTTATATTGACAACCTCTGTATTATTTGAGAAAGGGAAACTCCGCTTCTATCATTAATTGCTTCCACATATCCTTCAAGAATTATCTATCGTACAGTTCTAAAACCCAAACATGATTCTTTCTGAGGCATCCACGGTTGAACTTTTTCCTCAGCAAGACAGTTTCACTTATGTGAACAATGAATCCAACTCTTTCCAGTAGCTGCTTGACATCATTTATCTTCCAGGATCCAACGTCTCTGCAGTGCTAGTACCATTATACATTAGATACCATGAAGTCTTCTTTCTGTGAGGCTCTTGCTCTAAATTCAATTTTAAGCTTCATTTAATAACAGATAATAACTATGTTAGACAGAAATAGTTTCGATTCAAGTGTTCAATTAGATTACATACTACCTTGAACACTAATTCTTCCCTTGCAGGCTGTACACCTACGAAACACGTCTATTGGTCGCCTCGGAGAACCCTTGGACGTGCATAAAACTTTCACAAGGACACTGAATATTACATCTGTAAGTTTCTTCTAAGAAGTCCGGAACGATAGTTGGGATTGATTAATAAACCAAACGTTTGTGTTATGCGTAGGATTCGAAATAAAGAATTTATCAAAAGTGCGGCACTATATTATATATGAAATAATGGATATAATTTACAAACCTCAAACTGTGAGGTGTCTACGGCTGAATGACGTCAATAAGAAAAAGCAGCAAAACTGTGTCAAGGGCGACTCCTCCTCAGATTAAACAGATCGCAAATATCCAGATAAAGAATAAATGAATTAGAATAAACAAAGTTCGACAAAAAGTGGAAGATAAACAGAGCAAGTACAGCAGATACCATATAACTATAAGAAGATATCCACTGAAGATCGAATACAATGCTGAGTGAAGTAAATTTCGGTGACAAACAGCAGTTATAGTTACCGAATAGCAACGTATTAAAAATAGATAAATTCACACTACTTACTAGTGACAAGTAGCATATAGTCGAACACGAAAGAAATAGTAACAGAAAATAGGTAAAAAAGGAGTTTACAACGTCCAATCAATCCATTTTCTAAATAATACTGGAACACGGAGTCGGGATGAAATTTATATCTCAAGTAGGCTAGAGTATTCATAGTGGCGCAAAAAACCGTAGGCCACGTGACCCAATACAAAGTATGCGCATTCATAGTCATTGGTGCATTCTCACTTCTGGATCCCTATTCTATAACTTGGCCCAAGCGAATGAAGGAGTTCCACTGTAACAACAGAAGACAAGAGCCAGGTAACAGATCGTTTATTAAGGAAATCAACACGTATTTATATATATTTTCATGTACATTATTATAGTTTATTGAAGGAAACAAACACAGTCTCCTGATTGGCTGTTTCTCACAGAAAGTTGACCTTGCATCTCTTTGTGACTGTTTCTTGAATGTCAGGTCATCTATATGTTAACTGTATCTGCCTACGCAAAGTCTGCTGTGATTGGTTGCTGAATCAGTCTTGTTCATATTTTTTCACGACCAATATTTGCGACATACACATTGACGTAAAATACTGTCTACCAATTTTGGCTAGCAGCCACCTCTCACCACACTAATTAAATTAAATTTCTTTGTCTTCTATTTTTTTTGTTTTTCATCACCACTCGGTGTACTGCTTAATTAGCAATGGCTTTCTTCCGACCATCATTATTATAATTTTACAGTCTCAACATACAAACTATTTTCCTGAATGATCATTTGAAAATTCGTGTTTCTAGCCATAGAAAAGACTAGAACATGTCTAGGTATTAATTATATTTAATTATCAGTTACTTTGATACTGAGAATAACCTAAATAAAATGGTTTATAATTATTATTATAACAATGTTATTCACAATGTATGACGTATATACATACATTAATTAAGAAAAGTAGCATTTATTTTTTTTATAATGTCTTAATGTTTATGACTATTCTTATGGCTATCATTTATAGTTGCTGATTGCCCTTCCTCTAGATTCATATTATCTATCTGAATTTCAAACTTTATATAAACTTTATTAAAGTAAATTTGACTACTGTCGTAAAATATATTCCTTATCAGATATATTTGTTTCAAATGACTGACAGTGAGACAGTAATATCAGTTGTAAATACTACTGTATCAATATGTTTTTCATCAAATAAACTTATCCAGTACAATATTTATGCGTCTGTTCAGATTTCACATTTTAATTTTTATCTTCAAACCATACTGTATGTTTAACTGTAGGAAGACGACGTGGCTGAATATCCAGGAGTGCTCAGTTCTGTGTCCTGTGTCCTGTCAGGTGTTTGGCGATTGAAGAGCTTAAGCAATTCGGTCCCTTTAACCGTAGGCTCCTTGGAACATGTTCGCAGAATCTCACTTAGGCCCTCTTTAAGCTCTTCATTCGCCATAAAACCTGATTGACACAGGACACCAAGTAGATGTGCTGGAATCATTCAAAATAATCAACAGACAAAGTACCTCAAGTCTTCTCAGGTTTGCTGAAGCTATAGCAATAAAACGATTGAAGCCTGACTTATGTGTCCAAAAAGAATCCGTTGTTGGACTTAAATTACCCTGGTGATTCACTTCTTAGTAACTCTTTGTTTTCTAATTCTGTTAATTTGTTAACTTATCTTTTCACTCCACCCCCTCACTTTATTTTTCGCCTGACTCTCTTAAGAGATAATTTTTCTTGATCTGAGTTCTGCTCACTGTATTACGTCATCAACTTCTCATCTGACCTCATGTACACCGAAATTTTAAAATTTTGATCTCTTATGTAATTATGTAAATATCGCTAATTGCCTTTTGTTACCAGCCCAATAACACAACTGTTAATTAATTTTTTTCAAGAAACTTCTCTGCAACAAGATATATATATATATATATATATATATATATATATATATATATCGTAACACTTTAGACACCCTGTAAATCTCAACGCCTTATTTTACTATGACAATGTGACAGTATGCCTGCTAAGGGACAAAGGTTTGTTAAAACTGTACACCTTTTGTTTTTATTAAAAATCTCAGGTTGTACGCATCTGATGAGAGCCAACGAAATAAAATGAGTCCAGATTATTCTGCGCCAATGTTTCTTCTTTCTTTGTTCAAATAGAAGTAACCTAGATGAGAAACAGTTTAATACGATGATATAACAGATTTATAGAGCAAAAATATAAGGATGACATGATTATCAAGTAGGTTTCAAACAAATTTTATAAAGTCCGTCTCCACCAGTATTAATCTATGAACAGAGAAGAGTAAATCAGATTCTCAGTTTACTAATTAACTTGCAATTTGCACAGTTTAAGGTGGAATGTCACCACGGTTTCTCTTGGAAACCAATTCTTCCAAGTTTCTAGTCATAAATGGGATGACCTGAGCTGATTGGGCCATCTGAGCTAAGAAAAACAATTCTTCGATCTTGCTAGCAAACACTACTAGTTTGTGTAATTAGTGTTCAACTACTCATCTCAACTATTCAGTAGTATATAGTTTTATTCTTAGAAAGTAGTTATTGCTTATGTGCATATGTTTGTATAAACATACCTACAAACTCTAGAAACTTATAAGTATTTCTTAAAGGCTATTTATTACTTCCAGTAGAAGTCACTGATTAGATAAAAACGGTTATTGTAGTAAGAAAAAAATACTAAAAATAGAGACAATATCAAATTAAGAAATTGTGTGAATAGTTCACGAAGTTATCACAATTGTTATCGATTCACCTTAATTTATATATATATATATATATATATATATATATATATATATATTGGAGAGTAAAAATAAATTAACGATAAAAAGTTGATATGCATAACAAATAACTGTTGCTTAGTGCAAGTCAGAAAAACTATTTATTCGACCAATGAGAAGTTTCACTCAATTTTAAAATGCAGATTTATAATATGTGCTAGAATATATTTTATGTTTGGCTAGTTATCACGCAAAGGCAGATATACACTTTCATAATTTTACGAGGAGTAATAGTTAATAGACACCTTTATTCTTATTAGGATATGTAAGTTTAAGCGTTTCTACTGTATTCACATATATGATTTTGTAATTAAATTGTTAAAACTACGGTTTAACACAAGTCCTTTTTCATCAGAGCTGTTAGATACCTAGAAAGCTTTAGTTTCATGAGTGCAGACGACCATCAACGGGAGCGATTTGAAAGAGGTTGCTTCACTCGCTTATCTAGCATTGAGCATTGTCTCAACTACAGGAAGCCGGAACGGATGAGGATGTCAAGTCGAGCGAGAATCGGGAAGGCGAGAAACACATTCATCAACCTGAAACCAATCTGGAAATCTTCGTCACTCAACTCAGGATCAACAACAAAATTCGGTCGGATTTTCAATGCAAACGTCAAGTCAGTCAGTTCTTCTATACGGATCAGAAACTTGGTAGGCGGGCGGGTCACAAAGAATATCTCCAACAGCCTGTTGCAGACCTTTATCAACCAACAACTGTCTTCGCCGGCTCTATACTGAAGATGAGATGGCCGGCCGGGCCGGAAAGAATCACCAACAAGAAACTATGGCTGGGAACAAATAAAAACAAAACAAGAACCAATCACCAACTAACAAATATGCAGGAGAAAGTGGAGATGGATGGATTGGACACTCGTGGCTGAGGAGGCCGCTGGGTGACATCGCGGGCGCGTCAGGCCATTGCTTGAGTGGAACCCGAAAGGGAAGCGGCGAGTGGGTCATCAGTGCAAGGGTGACATGGATGAGATCGTGTGAAGAGGAGTTGAAATAGTATGGACTAACATGGATGCAGGTGAAAGTACAGCAGAAGGAAGACAGAAGCAAGTGGAGACGTGCAGCTGAAGCCCTATGTTCCACTAGAAACCCAAGGGAGCAATAATAATATAATTATAGACGACTTATAATCTGTTAAACGGAAGAGGCAGGGAAACCAATAGAGATTTAAACAGTTTACCTTTATTTCTTTATGAAGCATAAACAGAGTTTAATCAATGACAATATTGTTGTAGAACTTCTGTGTTTAATGTTATAGATTATTAACCAGTCGTATTACTTCTAGTCGGCTTTCTTAAGATTCCTTTCTCTACAGTATATTTATATTGTTTATCTACGGAAATTCATAAGAATTCTGTATGGCTTATTCGCCGAAATGTTAGACACAAGACTAAGAGCTCTATTTCTGAAGTCAATCACTTAAAGTGTTGTTAAGATTCTGTCTCACTCAAATCTTGGTATAACCTACCACAGGTTTTATAAGAGAGATTAAAGTTTTTAAGTATGGATTGACTACAACTTAAGTTTGATCTAAAATTAGTTTTATAATAAGTAATGATGAACACAAATGAAGTTCAGAGGTATAATTAACACTTGCAAACATTTTCTGCAGAGTAGGATTATTTAATGTTTTGTGAAACATACTTTATAATCTGTTGAAAAAACAGTCCTAAATTCAAGCGAGAGAATTAACCAGAGTGATGCCAAAAGGAAGAACAACTGGTCAGAAGTCGATTTGTCTAGATTTCCACCAGAAATTCACTGTTTCGAGAAAGAACTCAACTCGTTCTGAAGTGATTGCAGTATCATTTGCATCTGTGCTCCAAAGAAATTCAGTTAAAGGAGCACTTCTAACACGGTATTTACATTTTGATTGGACACTGGTCAGACTGAATTCTATCAGTGAATTTCGCAATGTGGCCAGCATGCTACGTGGCTCGCTATCACTGTGCACTGTGAGTTGTTGATATTAGAAGGGAAATGAGTTCCTTCGAGGTTGCAGACACTACTTGCTGAGAGTGACAAACAGGACGAAAACTGGTTCCAACGCTTCCTACAGATCGCCCCCAACCTTCTAATATAAACAGTATTGATATCTTAAGCTACACATATTCTCTGTTATTTCTGACTAACTGTTGGCGTTAATTAAGGGATTCCAAGGAATTACGACATCTCATTCATGGATGTGATTTTAAATTATAAACTCTGGGAATTGATATGCATAGAAACCACGTGTACACCAATCTCAAAGATGATATAACTGGCTTTTGGTGGCAAAAAGTTCAGGTATCGGTGATATATTGCATTTATGATCATATAAATGATCTATTTTGCTATGAGATATACTTTGCGATTCTACTGATGTGTATATTTCAAAAACTTATGAAGTGCTTCTTGTGCATTTAGTCAGCATACTGAGGCAATGTGTCTTTTAAGCAATTTGGTGAATGATGACTAGCAGTGGAATCCAGTACGTGGATTCCGTCCTATTTTGGATTCGTCAGCTGAGCCTACCTGAAATCCCAAATGAGTGATGGTGTAACCACTCAGACTGAAACCCAGTATCCTTCATTTCAAAAGCCAAAGAGTTTTCCACCAGACCCCTTCAAGCCACCGCCTATTGTGAACCACGTATCCGTTTCTATTTGTTTAGGTCGATTTTGACCTAATCACTGGTTGACTGACCTAAAAGAAATAAAGTGTCTTTTAGTTAAATATAATCAGTTGTGAGGAATCACCCCAAGGGTTCAATGCATCAAGCATTTCTCCAGGCAATAAGCAGACGTTGGCGTTGTTTATTCATAATTTTCACCCCCTGTTGAGGGCCTATATGTTTCAAGTTAATTAGTATATAGCAGTTGGAATAATTACCGCTTCTAATAGTTGTGAATTTTATCAATTGAGTTTATAAAATAAGACTTTTTGTATCATTTTAATGATAATTAGTTAGGCTGCGGATACACTTTTGCAATGAGAAGTATACGCCTCACATACGTCACAAAAGATATTCTAGCTGCGCAAAAGTGTTGATAAAACACCTTTAAAACAGCCAAACATATCATTCGATATAATTAAAACATTCCTATAGACCAGTAATACAAAATCGACAACTTTAGGAAATTCACGCCTTAGCTGACCGCCTCCAATTAATATTTACAAGTATGTTGAAGCAAAAGCTCAACGGGTTAGATTTGCAGTATGTTATATCTCCATCCTCAAAGAAAGTATGAATTAATGATTTTATTTTTTTATTTTTGATTACAGCTTGATTCCACACTATATTTTTGGTACAAGTATGGAATTTTCAGCACGCGATATCGGTAGGCCAAATTTTGCAGGCCGACCATAGATATCAGGTGTGCGTCGGCGTGGGCTCGAACCCCGGACCATGTACATGGTCGGCGAGAGTCCTAACCACTGTGCCACCAACGTAAGAGGTGTTAAGAATACGGTGAATATTTCATAGATTTTCAGTGGTTCTCTGATTGATATCAATCCGTGGTCAAACTCGGAAAACAAATCTAATCCTTGAAACACAACTTTTGAAAAATAATCTGATGCTCGCTAGTGACTTGCTACAATGAGAAGTCGTGATCAGTGAGGTCTATCCAGATGGGAGTGAGGACGGATTTCCCGCCGATGACATTGCTTGGTGGTCGCTCTAAAATCAAAAATTGGCAGAAGTTAGAATTTAATGGGCCATTGAAAAGGGTTCCAGTGGCTGATTGGTATACGAGCTCACTTTGTAACCAGAAGGTACTGAGTTCAGACCCTGGTGGTGGGTGTGTACTGTCGATGAATATTTCATAATGATATAACCGATATGTAAAACAAATAAGCTGAAATCATATAGTAAGAAAAAAAGTTATTTTATTAGTTAAAAGTCAAGAAAGTCTCTTAGTGTCTTTATACACGAAGTACTTGTTATTTTTCAAAGACTCCTAGAATGAAGGATATAAATTATGAAACACTATGGCTGAAAATGTCTGAGCAAAGACAAAAGACTAAGCAGTAAAAAGAAAGAGGAAGAGAAACCACTTGAGGTGAGGAGAACTTTCAATCTTTTGCTGGTGACGGTAGGAACAATGTCTGAAAGTGTTCTTTCTGGATGTAGATTCCTGACTTATTCGATTTTTATTACACCATCATCATCGTCTGTTTTGCACTATTTTGTATCTACACTGAACCCACCACTACTATCACAAAAACTTTGTTTATTCTGTCACCCCATAAATAATCTATTATTCAACGTAAAAATATATCATCCGCATAACTGTCTATTAAAACGGTTACGTTCAGTTAGAGGTTGTTTAATGGGATATACAACTGATCTTATATTTGCTCTTTATGATTGATTACTGGTTGCTGTATTTAGTCAGATATACTAAATAGTTAAATACATAGGATTTACTGTATGACAGACGCCTCATGGATAATTTATTCTCCAAAGACATATTAAAGATATCTTGATGTCAAGGTTGGCTATTAATCCTTCCAGCTAGTTTATGGTAGTGATTAATTGGCTTTATCAACCACATTTTTATTTATAGACCATAGAGGCTTTTGATGATCTTTTAATGCCTTTGAAAGGTATGCCTGAAGATTTCTCAGAGTTCTTAAGCATTAGTGGGACTTATTGAAATTAGTTTCACTTCCATTAAGTATTTCATATATTCATGTGAAAACTATACAATTTTCATTGACCGTTCATCTAGAAGTTAATCTTGTTATTGTATTCTGCCAACTGAAAGTCCACTTGTCTTTATGTCATTAGTAGAACTGTTCAAAATATTTTACCATGGAAGTAGTCGATAAGTATTGGTAAGATCTTACCCGGATTTTTGACAGTGAGCTTTGCAACCATAAGTGTACTTCAAAAGCTGTCATTAATGAGTGGTATCGGGAGGGATTTACTTAATCAGAAATGTATCGGCATAATATACAGACAATAATCTTATTATGTTTTAAGCACACAAACACAGATATTTGGTGTAAGAAGTATTATTCGTAACACTTTTTATTCCTGAGCGTTCCCAGTGGAACATTGGTTTTCAAACTAGAGCCTTGAAAGTTTCGGTAGTAGTAGTGTTTATTTTTACAGGATGGAGTTGCTAACCTTGTGTTCAACTTTCCTTGTTTACCAGTCTTATTACTGGCTTAGCGAGGTAAAAGAGTGTTCCGGTCGGAAATCGAGCCCCATAACACCAAAGCGGTTGGCGAGCATTCTACCGCTGTGCCACTTACTCACTTT